TTCTTTGTTGCATTTATATTGACTGCCTATTCTTTGATTAACTTGTCTTTTACTTTTGTGTGTTGTGTCACCTTTATGATTATTGTTTGAGTTATCAGTTCTGATAGTATTATTTCATTTTCTTCACATAGAAAGATGTGTATATTGTTCTTAGTTGCTTGATCATATCTAATGCACCTGTTGTATATGTATATGTCTGTTCATCTGATATTGTTCCTTTCCATTGTTGACAATTCTTGTACCCATACTTTATTATAGAATAATCGGGTATTGTAATCTTCATAGTTTGTTGATCCTTCAGATAGTTTTGTAAAATGTCTTATTTTTACAGTTTGTTTCCATGCTATTTTCTCATGTTCTTCAATTGTGTTGTGATTTTTGTTCAATAAATACCATTCCACAATATATTTTCTTTTAAACATATTTTTAATCTTAGTCCTTATATCCTCTACTATGGGTTTGTTGTTTAACTTGTATCTGGTTTCTATTGCTATGTTGTCCATTATGTCATTCTCTTCTCTGATCCAGTTGTGTTTTGTTTTCTTCGCTTCCATATCTACCTCTTTGATGTGTGTGTTGCTTCTCCTCTTCTTGTGTATAAGCTTTACTGTTAACTCTTTCTGTTTGATGGTTTGTTTTATTCTTTCTACTATTTTATTGTATTTCTTTTTTTTGCTCTTGGTATATCTAATAGCCTTTATTGCTGTTTTGCTGTCCGTGATGATTCTTGTCATGCCTTTGTGCGTAATGCACATCAATGCGACCATTATTGCAATTAGTTCTGCTTTTAGTGCTGTTGACCTTTCTTTTAGTTTTATGTCTATGCACTTTGTTTCTTCTTGTGTATATACATTGATAACTTTGATTGCTATAGTGTAATTACTATTTGCGATACTTGCATCTGTATATGCTTTTGTTTCCATTCATGTGACTATCTGTTTTCTGAATTTGCTAACAGTATTCTTGATATTGGGATTTGTGAACAGACCTTCTGCTTGGAATTCTTCTGGTAATGTGATCACTATTTTTGTTTTAGGGTCTTTGTCACTGGTTTCTCTTATTCTTCTTATCATTTTGATACTTGTTAATAATATTAATGTCTTTAGTTTACTTATTGTATTCTTAGGATCTCCTATACTTTGCTTTGTTCTTACTACTTGTATACTTATACAGCTTGTATTTTTTGCATGAATCATACATATGTTTCCTCTTTTGTCAGCATGTATGTTCTTCTTGCAGCCTTTACATGGTTCTATTGATAATGCCTGTGGCTGCTGGGTGTAGTGTTTGAGTGTCATAGTGTCTTGTTTTTTCTTCCTTAGCTTTCCTATTGTTTGCTTTGTTTCACTGTCGACTAGTATCCAATTCTTATTTTGATTTTTAAGTTCCTTTGATATAAGCTTACATGTTTTGTGCCACGCTCTGAATGTGTTTGTTCTGTTACCTGATATCCTGAGCATTCTTTTCTATATGTCTGCTGGGTTTATTAATTTCTTTCTTATTTCCTCATAGAATATTGGGATGCAATCTCCTGCTTTCATGTTGAGTGACTTTATGATATTAATCCATATGTTGCATTTAGTCATATCTATATTAAGGAGTTGTTCTATCCATTTTAATTTTCGACTTCTAAGTCTCTCTTTGTTCCTGCCAAACTATTCTCTTTCCATTGTTTCTTCTATAGTTATCAACTTGTGTGTGTCTTCATACATGCTTTTCTTTCTTGCTTCTATTGTAATTCTGATATTGTATGTTTGACTGTTCCTCAGCATGTCATGTGTAAAGTTTTGATTGTTTCTGAAAAGCTTCAGGCATGTGTCCGTTACTGATGTTGATGTTCACACTCTCTATTGGATGTTCCTTATATTGGCTTTGGTAATGTACAAGACTATATTGTGATAATCTATAAGTGCTTTTGTGTCTTCTGCGTGTTTCTGAAGTTGTCTAGTCTGTAGGTCAAATATTTTATATCCTAGGTGGCTGTGGAAAAAAGCATTAGGGGCTGTTGTTGTAAAATCTAGTTTGTGTTTTGCTATATGTCTTATTTTTCAGTTTAATTTGTCAACTTTTCTGTTTGAGAGTACCATGTCATTAAGAAGATACTTCAGTTTTGGAAACAACATATAATTCAGTATATATATTGTCTGTTTGTCTATTATTTGCTTCCATCTAAGTTTGTTGAGGATTTGTGTCAACCGTTCTTTCAGTAATTGCTTTTGGAAGCTTTTGCTGCCTTTCTTTTGTATTTAAATCCCCAGATACCTTACAAGATCATCTGTATGCTTAATTTCTATCCTACTATGATTAATTGTAAATGAATTATCTTGTCTAAATACTATTATGTGTATTTTCTGGAGATACGCTTAGATGTCAATCAGATTGTAAAATAACTCTGCTGTTTTTATAATGATCTGCATTTCCTCTCTGTTGTTTGCCATCTATGTGATATCATTTATATATATAATGACTAATATATTGGTTCTTTCCCTATGTGTATATGGATTGTTTTGTGTTGTTTTCTTCATGATATATGTGTAACTCTTTCATTCTGGATATTCTGGTGATGAGAGGATTATAATAAATTCTTTAGAGAATTGAAAAAATCATATTCCCTTGATTAATTTCTCCTAGAACTTTGTAAGAGTTCATGTTTCCAACTGTTGTGATGACTGTGTTTCTTCATTCATTGAAATTTTTGCTTACCAGATTAATAAAGTGGTTAGTATCTTGAGTTTCTTTAGTGCAGCCTTGAGCATGTTGATGTTGATGCTGTCGTACACTTTGGACATGTCTTGAAAGACTGTCCAACATCTTTGTTATAGAGCTTGGCATTCTCAATTATACTGTTAACTATTTTAATTGGTTTTCTTATACTTACCTTAGGTAGTGCTGCCCAGTTGTGTTCAGATAGAATCAGGTGGATTGTTAGAACTCTTGATAGTCTTAGTATCAATATTTTTGTGAATATCTTTTTTATGGACTCTAATAATATAATTGATCTGACTTTTGATAGATCGTTCTCCCAGTCTAATGTCTTGAGAATTGAATATATAATACTGTGTTTCTACTCTGTAGACATTCTTTTGATCACTATTATACTGTTATATATTTTTCTAATTATCTCTGTTGCTTGTGCTCCTAGGTTTTTTAAAGCTTTGTATAGTATTTATGATGGTCCAGGTACAGACTTGCTATTCGCATTTCTTATTACTTCTATAAGTTCCTCAGTGTTGATCTCAGATGTCAGATCCTTGTACCATTCCATCTAAACATGTCTTATCAGTGTATATTCATGTATCCATTTCTTAATAATTATATTATGCAACTTTGCTTTTGTTCAGTTGACAAAATACTTTCTGACTGTTTGCTTGATTTTTTCTTTGTCCAATATGACTTCTTGTTCCTCTTCTTATGTAATAATTTTATCAAGTATGATCTATGTGTACTTGTTATTCAAGATGCTGTTTATTATTTCTTTTTTATCTGTCTTTAACCAGTTCATTCTCATCTTGAGAGCTGTAATTATCATCTTCTTCTTGGATTCTACTAACAGTGTTTTGTATGTGTCTTGCATGATTTTCCTTATGTTTTTAACTTCTGCAAGCCAATTGGTTATATGGGGAATGTCCATATTGTGGGTTAACCGATTTGCTCACTGTAGACATTTGTGAGTTTCTGGATTCTTTGCAGTATATGTGTCTTCATATTATCTTTGATGAACTCCTTGGCTTCCTGTATGATCTGCGATATACCTATCAAGCCAATTGCATTTGCTGTATTGATTGTTGCTTCTTTGTTTCTGCTATAACATTTATGTTTTTTAACTTTCCTTATATGTTTACTGGTTGTTATAAGAATGATATCTCTTAGTTTGTTTCATTGAGTGTTAATGTTTATCTGTGTATCCTTTCCCTAGGTATTGGTCACCTCTGCACATTTTTGTCAATCTTCTCTATCCATGCCTTCCACTTGTATAATTTGGTTGCGGCCTATATATGTGATAGAAATTAATAGATCCTTGATACAATTGACGCAATTTTTTTATACAATTAATTAAGTCACTATTAAAACATATAAAATAATTGAGTCAGACGCAATTATTTTTGAGAATTTTAGCAATTGAGTCAATAGCAAAATAATTTACACCACATGTATATTGTGACCCAATTGTGTCTCATGTTTGGTAGTCTTCTTTTGTTTGATTGTTTGTTTGTACACAACTCGAAAAAGGTAATGTGTGTTGTGGCGATCTTGTGGTCTGTGTTAAGTATTTGCTTAGATGGGGAGAGAATGTCTGCAGCTGTTATTATGCTGCTGCCTTTGTTTGTGGTCCATATCTGATCTATTCTACTTTCACTATGTGCTGAGTTCTCTCATGTGTATTCTTTCCTAAACAGGTATATGTTTCTGAATATATCTGCCATTTCTACTGTTATTAGATTGTTAATTAATAAGCTGTTGCTATGCTATCTATCTTTCCTGTCTTTCTTGTTAGGTAAGAATCTATCTAGCGAGGATCTGTATACATTATTTAGGTCTCCCTCCAAAATGACATTCCAGTTGTCTTTGTTTGCTTTATCTAGCCATTTGTTTATTTCAATTTCAAGTTTTGCTTTTTTTGATGGAACTGCATATAAGTATACACTGATTATTCTGAGGTATTTCTTTCTAGGAAATACTAGGTCAAGGCAAATTGTTCTTCTTGTGATAGTTTGTTTTTATATAATTCTTTTCGAGATGTGCATTTTTATACTTATCCCAATTCCTTCTCCTATCTGTTATGTGCCGAATGTCTAGTATGTTGTGTATAGATTGTTTTTTTAGTATTTTTCATTTTGGGCTTTGCTGTTTGTTTTCGTAGTAATGACTATATCCCAATAATAGACATGCCATTGCATGAACCAAATGCTTCTTTTACTGTCATTGTTAATCCCTCTTATATTGGTTGTGGTGACTTTAAGTAATAGCGAGTCAGTGTTGTGTCGCGAGTTTACGTTTGATCAGTTTGCTTTACAGCTTTGATCTTTTGTTTTTTGTAATCCATTGTTGTATTCATGCTCTTCTGAGACTTGTTTGCTCATGCTTGATTTGCTATTTATTATTGAAGACTAGTCGAGTTGGGGTGGCTGTTTTGCTCTGAAAGATTGTTACTGAAAAGTTTGATGAACTGTGCTATCATTTCTTCTATTTTTTTGAGTTTTTCATTGATCTGGCTTTGAGTTGTTTTGATGTCTTCTGTCTCGATTAGTTGTTTTGTTGTGGAAATTGTGGAGTCAGAGGTGGATTCCATGTCTTCTTTTATTTCATCCATGTGTCTGTATACTGTGTCTTTCTCTAATGTGCTGACTCTTTTTTCTCTAGTTGACTTATCTAGTGTTGTACTTCAGTTATTGTTTTTTGTATATGGTGGACAAGGGCAAGGAGCACGCTATTTGAAGGGTGGTGCATATTGGTTCCTCAAGTTATATCGGCATAACTTCTGTTGGGTCCATTGTACCTATACTGGTTTTTATTGTTGTAATGTGTTTTCTCTTGATATGTGGAGAATCTGTCTCTGGGATGTGTCCCGTGTCTTATGCGAGCATTGTCCGGAGGTTTAATATTGCAGTTTGTGATCATATATTGAGTGTCCCCACAGTAGTGGCAAAGTTTTACTGTTTTGACCACCTATGTAAGCTTGTGTCCTTTGAAATTGATATCATTTGCTGTTGCTTTAGTAAGGTTCTTCTGGAAGATAAAATTTAAACTTGCGAACCTTATAAATGTTTCATTTGTTTGCGATGTGTAACATGCTTTGACACTGACTTGTTGCATGATGTCACTAAGGTCTTGAGCTATCATTGAGTCTGGAAACTTGGTTAGTGTAATGCTGAATTTATCTCTTTCTAGTCTTGTTTCTCTTGTATAATAGTATGGGAGCATTTTCATTGTTGTGTCCTTTATTATTACTGATCAATCGTTTATAGCTGTGTCATAGTCCAATTGATAAGTAAAGATTACTACTGCTGACTTGTATGGTCCTGTTGTCTGCATCTGGATATATTCAATAGGATCAAATTTGATGGATCCTGTTATAATATCTTTCTTGAAAAAGTGTTGGAGGATATTCCAGATTCTGACTGATTTGCGATTGGTTTCATATATGTAGAGCATCAGTGCTAATTTTGATTTGAAGTTTTCAAACTCTGAGATTGGATATGTGTATGCTTCCTCGGCATCTGTATAATTACTGAAAATAGTCATGATGTTTGGTTCTCCTGTTGGCTCTTCCACTCTGATGTGTTTGAGGGAAACCTACTTGCCATTCTCTCTCGTATAAATCAAATTTTTTCTTGGTTATCTTTCCTGGGTACTTGGTCAAGTGTAAATAATACTTTGCCACTGCAAAGTGTATTCACATTTTTGTTATTGCTATTGATGTTGTCATTGCTATTAATATTGTTTATACTGTTATTGTTGTCTTGAACTGATGTATTTGATACTTTTTCTTTCTCTTTTTTGGCATAGGTAAAAGTTCTATTTTTTTATTTTATTTTATTTTATTTTTCTTCTGTTTTGTCTGTACGCTCCAGGTTTGTTGTTAGTCTTGTTTCTGGGTATTCTTGACTATTGGTTCAACTATTCTTAATATCTGAAAAGTTTCCTTCTATGCTAATATCAGTTATATCTGATTCTAGCACACTTATGAACTTCAGGTATTTGTGGTTCAAGATATTCATTTCCTGTGTTATATCTGCTTTTCTGCTGCTGATTGGTATTGATCTCTTGAATAGGATGGTTTTCTTGACAGTTGTTATTTTCTTAATAATTTTTCCATTGTTTCTTGTAACTAAATTATCATTATATTTGGATGTTGTGTTTTTGAGAGAGCTGTTCAGAGTGTACTGGCTAGACATATTGTTTAGAGTTTCCTAATTTAATAATTTAATAGAGTGGAAAAAAGTGTCCATATGTTTTAAACAATCAAATAAAAACTTTAAAATATATAAATAAAGAGTTTGCTACTCAAAAAAAAATTGAAGGAAAAAATAGAATATTTAAAAAATTGGCTTTAAAATTAGAATTCCATTATTATAATATCTCTGAAATCTATATTATCTGTAAAATCCATATTATCTAAGATATCTATAGTATCAATAGAACTCTTAGAGTCTGATTATAAAAATGCTGAAGATAAAAGTATTGAAGATTTTAATAATGCTAATACCAAAGATTATAAAAGTATCAAAGATCAGTTAAGTTATAAAAACAAAAGTTTGATTAGTTAGAAATATAAAGAATAAGAAAAGGAAATTTATGAATCAGATTTAAAAGAAGCAAAAAAAGAAATAAAAGTTTTTATAAAGATGTTTTTCAAATATATAAACTAAGAATAGATAAAGTTTTTTCAAGTTTTGAAAATAAAAAAATATTAATCAAGCTAATATTTGAATTATTGAAATTAATAATTCTATATTATAATATCTTATAAAGATAACTATATAACTGGTTAAATATTTTATATCATTATCAAAAAAGAAGATACCAAAAATCACAAACAGAAAAATTAGAAACAAACAATAGATATTTGCATGCAAACAGTTGGTTAAATAAGATAAGAACAATAGATATATACAGTATATATATATTATTTTATATATATTAATTTTTAAAAAATTATAAAAAAAAAACATAAAAAATTAAAAATATACAATTATTTATTAGTAAAAGTTTAAAGAAATTGCAAAATATCAAGATAAATTGCTTGATATTCTTAAAAAAACAAAGGTCTATTCATTTAAAGAAAATAAAACTGATTTAGAAAATATTAAAAGAAAAATAGTTTATATAATTATAGTTGATATTAGGGCTCTGAAAAGTATTGAACTGATATTGAAATAGTATCAAAATAATATTGATCTGCAGTAAATTTAATATATGAATTGTGATCCATTTATATGAATTTATAGTAAATTTAAATATTAAACTGATATCAAATATGTATCATAATTGTACCATTAGAAGCCCTAGTTAATATTCTCATAAGATATTTAAATATTATTAAAGTCAAATATTTATTTGCTAAATATTTATATATTGAATATTTATTTATTATATAGTTGATTGACTTGTTAAAAAAAGTTTTAGACAAATATTCAAAGTCAATTTAATATATAAAAATAATTTATAAAAGAAATTATGAGACTGCAACTTATTATGATATAATATTACCTAAAAATTTACCGAATTGGACTTATTATTATTTGAAAAAAGAATCAGAAAAATTAATAAAAAAATATAAAAAACAAAAGGTTACTAAAGAACTATTAATATATTTGAAAGAATATCAAATTAGAAAAAGTACAATAATGAATAAGATCAAGAAGATAATTATTAAGGAAAAATCAATAGAAGGTATAAAAATTGTTAAAAAAAAACAACTGAAAAAAAAAGAAAAAGTAAGAATAAAAAGTAATAAATTTTGAGATTTTTTAAAATAAAATCAATTAAGTGAAAGAAAAATAAGTAAAAGAAAAAAAAAGAAACAGAAGAAAATAAATACATGTATTTAATTTATATATATAATTTTTTTGTTATATTCAAATTAGATTATTTTATTATCATATTTTAATAAACTTTTTGTTAATTATAATTACAAATAATTATCAAATTTTATTATATTTATTTGCTAAATAATAATAAAATTAAATGCTAAAATGTATATACAAAAATTTGTCAAATTTTTAAATATAAAATATGTTAAATTATAACTATGTTATATGTCAAATAATTGTATTTTATTTATTAAGTTATTGCTAAATACTATTATGTTATAGTCAAACTATTAATGAATGTTTATCAAATATTTATGTTATTTTTAATGCCAAGTGGCACCAAATGGCATAAATTCAGTTTAAATTTAATTATAAAAATTTATATAATTTGGCAATAATTTGACATGTCAAAATGATCAAATTTTGACTAGTGATAAATTCATATTATTAATAAATAGCATTAATCCAATATTTAATAATAGATTATATCTTAATTTATAATTTTATAAATATTAAATAAACATAATCAATTTAAAGTTCTCAAATTCTGTTGACGTCCCATTATAGACATGTGTACGATTATCAAAGAAAATTGTACAACAATAAAAATAAGACAAATACGTAAGACATTTAAGTTATTATAATAGTTACACTTACTAAACTTTATCATAACGGAATAATACCCAAATACTATTAAATATTAACCGATATGGGTGATTTAGAAAGAAAATATAATGCTGATGAAGGAATTGGAGTTGAAAAGGATGAA